TAATAATAATGAATAATAATAGAATAATAATAATAATAATAATAATAATAATAATAATAATAATAATAATAATAATAATAATAATAATAATAATAATAATAATAATAATAGCTGAAAAAATAGCAAAAATCGATCATATTATTTCACTCTTTCATCTTTTCTAAACCGCTCAACATTCTTCAAATCATTTGATAAATTTTGCTAAGGAAATGATTTAATAAATTGTTGATTAATCAATGATTTTAGTTGTGTCAGTCTTTTTTTTTAATGAACTGAAAAAGAATTTCAGAATTTTTGCCAGTTCATAACGAGGACGGCTATTGGTCATACAATTATTATTTTAATAATTATATCACTTTTGTTTATATGCGGCATTGTTAATGCAGTTTGTTTTCATTCTTGTTTCTCCTCACTTTTTTCATAAAAGTAATACCGAAAAGAAAGGCTTTTCACTTTACTTTTAGATTAATATCAATTATAGGAATGACCAAACATGCACTAGGATAGGTCTTTAATTTAATTAAGATTTAATTCGATTCATTTCCTATAATGTTGAATAAACAACTGGAATATGAGCTAAATGTTGTAAGTGCCGTATTTTTTATCCATTCTGAATTTTATTTTAAATATTACTTCTCTAGATTAAAGTTTAAATTTAATTAAATCTTGATTCGTTTTAGTGTAATCGAAGTTTACACCAATTTCAGTTTTCCTGTCCACAACATTCGAATTTGACACCGTTAGATGAATGCGGCATTGTACATTTTTCACAGCTTAATTGCGCTTTTTGGATGCTTGCTACAACTGTCTTTATACGTTTTCCATCTTTGGTACTATTTGGCGCATTACTAATTGCATTTGCCATATATTCTTGCCATGCATTTATCACTCATCCGATGCTTTATGTCAGTTATGCGCAGCTTGTTACGTAAGCTTTTTTTTTTTTGTTAAAATATTTGCTGTTAATTTTACACACATCTACGATTTTTGATAAATTTATGCTTATTCATATTTATTTATCGTTTTTATCAGAAAAACAATACAGTTTATGTTTTCCTAAAAAAAAATCAAATTATTTTTAAAAAAAGAAAAATGAATCGATGATGGAAGAAACAATATGAAAAAGTTTATAAATTATGACAATTAAACAGTACATGATATCTTTTAATTATTTCAAAGGTTTATGAGCGAATAATTCAGAAAGGTGTAAGATACCATAAATGATTTATAATTTTCAAAATTTTCAATAAAGTTCATTTTTAAAATAGAAGAAGTAAACAGAAAAAAAAGGAAGGAAAAAAGAAAAGATAATGAAATCTTTGTAATTATTTTTCGACAAATAATTAAAAACTCACATAAGTGTTATATTTAACTTTTGTTTGTTTTGTTTTTTTTTTGTTTATTTTTTGTTTTTCGTTTTATTTATTGTTTATATTTCTTATTTATATTTGTTTATTTTTTGTTTGTATTTTTATTTAAATCGAAGGAATAAATTACTTCAAATTAAAAAAAAAGTGAATGGAAATGTTAAATACAAAGTTAAATTATTTCAGCTGATAAATATTTAGTAAATATTGAAAATATTAAAACAATTTTCGGCTTAATCTCTTGAATTTTTTTGAAAATACAAATTGTTGAAGTAATTTATTAAAATTGATGATACAATTGCTTCGAGAGAAGTAAATGTCAATTTTTTGCACCTGTTTGCTTGTTCGAATCATTTTTGCTTTAAAACTTTTCGAAATGAATGAGATATTTGTTTGATCAAAGATCATTGCTTGTCTCCGTATAACTGAATAATTTATGCATTTTTCTCTTTTTTCCTTTTTCGCTAAATATTTTTAGGAACAAATGTTCTTGTAGGATTAGTCCGAAATAGCAACAGAGAGGGAGACAATGATAAATGAGTGGTTTTTTTTTTTTGAGCTAAGAAAAGCTAAAGCTATCAAAATTCGTTCATTATGATCAAAGTTTACAAAAATTATTACATAGAATAAATTTGATTTATTTTTATCGAAACTTTGAAATTTTATTTCAGCCAAATATCTTTTCCATTACAGATAGTTGAGGGAATAAAATTTTGAGTCGGAAATAAATGAATAAAAGAAAATTTAAATTAAAATTTAGAACTTGTTCTATTTTTAAATGAATAAGCATAACTATTGTATAAAATGTTTGCTTCTTATGAAATTTAATAATAAGCATTTAAAGGAATAAAATTGAATTTGGAGGAAAATGCTGCATTAACTTTTGAGCTAATTTCAATTTGTCTTATACCATGCAGATTTGTAAATAAATTGTTTTGAATAAATTTGACGATTTTTTTTTTTTTTTTGAGAAAGAATAAGAAAATGATATTTTTACAAAAAATATAAATGTCATGTGAAATTTGAGCATTATTACATGAGCATATCGTTAAACAATATTACGTGACCATACCGTGAAGACTTTGAACAGAAGCTATCATAGTTTTATTCATTTATCATAAATCATTATCATAAGAAAAAAAAAAGAAATCAAGTTTCTTTGTATCAAAGAAATTGTAAAATGCGCTGTAAATTTAACAGGATTTATTAAATTTCGAAATTTCTCAATCACCTCTCTGCTTGGGAAAAAAAAAAACTGGGCTGAAATGAAGATCATGCTTATTGTTAAAATTTAAAAAAAAAAAAAACGAAACATTGGACAAACTTTAAAAGAATACGAGAAGTTTTCTTTTTTTAAAAAAAAAAAAAAGCTGAAATTTCTTTTAAAAGAAATCAACAAATATCAGTAATCGGAAGGACAAAAGAAAAAAAATGTATCAAATCATTAATTACATAAAATTTATTCAAAATATTTAGCTTAATTACTTTAATTTATGACTATTTGAAATGATCAATAAGGTCTAGTACAAAATAAAAAAAGGCAGCTCGTGAAGAATTTTCATAAAGATAGAATAATACGTAAAAAATTGGTAATATTCATAATAATAACATTCACAAATTTAAATTTTAATAGTTTAAATATACAAAAAATATCATATTACGTCTCTTTAACATACTAAAATGCGACAATTTTAATCAAACATTAATAATTTTACGAATTTATTTCATGAATGAGTTTGTTTTAATGAAAATTTACTATTGTAAATGTACAATTAATCTATTTTTAGAGCATACAATATCGAATGGGAATTATTAAGTGGTCTATTAATGTTATCATTGCTTGTTTTCCTTCATTTCCGAAGGAATGAACGAATTTTAAGGCTTGAATTTATGTCTAAACTTAAAGTAAGTTATAAATTCAAATTATCATATGAGCTAATATTATGTAAGGATAGATTTTTTGCTGAAAATGAATTTGCAAAACGAGAAACATATAATTTTACATGAGAAAATTTGTAATGTAAAAAGATGAGCATTATTGATTAATTAGACAAATTGCGTTTGCTCTTCTCGCTGTTTGCCTTTTTATTTTAATTAATAAAAAAGTTAAAACAAAAAAAAAAAAAAAGAAAAAAAAGAAAACAAGAAAGACAGAAAAAAAAA